AAGTCCCAGTGACTGCTGTGACACACTGATGTGTAACATGAAGAATTGTGTCACAAAGTTCTGGATTTAGAACTTCCTCTAAATAAGCTCTCTCAACCAGAACAATACCATCTACTTCTACAGGTATTTGAAAATGTGCAGAGGGGCATTTTGAAATTGTCACAATGACCTGTAAGAGAGAACAGAGGGGAAGGATGCTAATGGTAATTAGTAGTTTGGCCCCAAATGCTAAATGAATGACAGTCACACTACACACATGATGGCATTTCATTTACTCCCCTCTTCCACCCCGACCAAAAAAAATTGTATAAATGTTCCCTATTCCCCTCTCTCAGATGGTCAAGCCACGCCATTCCCTTTAAACTTAAAAGTCCGGGGCTCAAAACAGAGACTAGATTTACAAACTGCAGCCTACTGGCAGGCAGCTTAATTACTACCACTGTTTTCAGAAGCTCTTGTCTTGTCTTTTTTTCATTATCATAATCAAGTACAGTCCTCTTTCAAAGGTCTGTGTTCAGTTTTCTCCACGGGCATAGTATTTTGCCCCTGCTCCAACACCAGACTTTTGGCTAGCAGATATGAGAAAAGACCTCCACTCTAGTACACTATGCCAGAACAAAAACTCGCCAAGTATCCTTGGAACCTCGTATCTATAGATGAAGGAAGAGAAATTCCATAACCTCCTGAGAGCATATCAAATTTTTGTGTCTAGCAGTACATGTGCCTCTTAATGGGAACGAGGTCCATAGTACTCATAAGACTCTCAAGAGACTATGACTTTAAAATATTAAAAACAATTGCTCATTGAAAATGATCCCCCAAATCTTTTACAATTCCTGTGCTTTAAAATCTCTGAAGGTTTCCCAGTATCTGTAATATAAACTCTCTCAACATATTAGATAAAGCACTCCACAGTGAAGCCATCACTCAAAATACTAGAATTCAAAACCTATCCTGGCAATTTTTAATGTACTTTACAATTCTAAGAAATCAAACTACTTCCTTCAAACATATGCTTTCCTTCCTCAAGGTTCTGCTCACAATTTCCCTCTTCTGAAACATTTTCCTGTATCCTCAATGAACAAAATCCTAATCATTCTTCATGTTCTAGTTCACAGGTCACACCTATAAAGATTTACCTACCTACTCGGCTGAAATTAACCTTACTCATCTGTGCTTTCATAGTATCTTGTATTTCCACTCTAGCACTTGTCACATTCTCCTTGGTTTATGGTTACAGTGAGGTGCCCAATCTCTGGGCTGAGCATAAGTACCAGTCTGTGGCCTGTTAGGAACCAGGCTGCACAGCAGGAGGCGTGCGGCAGGTGGGCGAGCAAGCATATCCACCTCCTGTCAGAACAGCAGCAGCATTAGATTCTCATAGGAGTGCGAACTCTAATGTCAACTGTGCACACAAGGGATCTAGGTTGCATGCGCCTTATAAGAATTTAATGCCTGATAATCCGAGGTGGAACAGTTTCATCCTGAAGCCATCCCTCCCTTCGCCCCCGCCCCATCCGTGGAAAAACTGTCTTCCACGAAACTGGTTCCTGGTGCCTAAAACGTTGGCTGGGTTATAGTATTGTAATGTTTTCCCTGACCTGGTAGAATATAACTAAAGGACAAAAGCTGCATCTTATGCCTCACTGTGATCACCAGTAAGTGATGCTGTGCCTTAAATAATATAGGTTTCTAATATAAATATCTACAAAATTAAATTAAAATTAATACTGGGTACAGTGGCATATGCCTGCAATTGCAACACTTTGGGAGGCCAAGGCTGGAGGATCACTTGAGCCCAGGAGTTTGAGACCAGTCTGGGCAACATAGTGAGACCCTGTCTCTTAAAAAAAAAAAAAAAAAAAATTAGCCAGGTGTGGTGGAATGTGCCTATGGTCCCAATTACTTGGGAGACTGAAGTGGGAGGATTACTTGAGCCCAGGAGATTAGGCTGCAGTGAGCCATGATTGCGCCACTGCTCTCCAGTCTGGGTAACAGAGCCAGAGCCTGTCTCAAAAAAAAAAAAAAAAAAAAAAAAAAAACCCTTAGATTTGCAAGGAAATTTGGCTATTATTAAACAAAGATGAAAACTACATGGAAGAATGGATGTGAAAAGCATATGGCAATTTCATCCCTTGAAACTTACAAAATGGCCAGTCTAGGCCAGTTAAATCCAAGTTCATATACCCACAAATTCTTTCACCCAAAAGGAAAGCCAATTCAGTTATAGAAAGCCTATATGAATAGAAAATGAACGAATGTTAACAAAGTAGTCTGCAAACTATAAAGCATTACACAATATAGATAACTAATCATGACTGTTACAGTCTACTATCCTTTAACGTAGTGTATTTTTTAAACTACCAGACTATTTTTTAAACTACCAGACTATTTTTTTAACAGACCAACATAGTTATAAAGAGTTTTATGGGTTAAAATTAATTAACTGAAACAATTCATGACTATCTTAAGATGATTTAAGAGATCATTAGATGCCCAGGTGAAATTATAAAAGTATGAAAAATATCAAAGGGAACTGATACTAAAGTTTTATATTTTAAGATTATGTTTATTATATAGAACATCAAGTATACTAAGCAATGAATAATTTCTAAAGACAGAGATTTTTTGTCTTCCTTTGTTTAAATTTCAAACTGTTTTATTCATAGCAAGTTTTTTATAAGAAAATTCAAGGAGTAATAAGACTTGGCCAGTTGAGGAAGAACACTTTGTATTTCACATGGTAAACCAGATCATGAGGGAAAAAAACCAACGATTTTCTAGGTCAAGAATGCTCACTTCAAGCATTCCTCAGTAGCTTCAAGGCTCTACAGTATATTATTCCAGGCAAATGGGCAAGGAATAATACATGAGTGAAAGAGAAACTTCAGGGACAAGTTTAAGTGCTGAATAATTCTCTTCTTTTGTATACCCTGTGACCTTCCTACAGGAAAGGTGTGCTAATAAAAACCATGCTTGGCTGGGCACAGTGGCTCACACCTGTAATTCCAGGACTTTGGGAGGCCGAGGCAGGTAGATCACGAGGTCAGGAGATTGAGAACATCCTGGCTAACACAATGAAACCGTGTCTCTACTTAGAATACAAAAACTGAGCCACGCGTGGTGGCACATGCCTGTAGTCCCAACTACTCGGGAGGACGAGGCAGGAGAATCGCTTGAACCCAGGAAGCGGAGGCTGCAGTGAGCCAAGATCGCGCCACTGTACTCCAGCCTGGCGACAGAGCGAGACTCCATCTCAAAAAAAAACTTGCTCATGGGCTACTCAGTTTCTATTCTTGTACCCAAAACCATATGATGTTAATTATTCAGGAGCATATATTAGAAATGCTTTGTGCTTACACATTTTTGTTATAAAAAGACTTTTTATGTTGCATCAACTTATGCAAAAACGTAAGTAAGAAAATTTTAGGTTTAAAAATATACAGCCACCTGTTAGCTGAGATACTTCAAAAAGCAATATCCAAAGAGGAGGAGGAGGAGTAGTCCAAAATGCACTTATAATGACAAAAAAGGTCTTACAACAAGCCATATTACAACATACATTTTAATAAAACACATTGAGTTGTACAAAGCCTATATTCTTTTCATATTCCTTTGTATATTTTATTTAATCTTTCCCTAAAAAGCTAATTAAATGGTGAGAAATAATCCAAAGAATTTCAGAATCAATGTATTTAACTGGGCATATTATGACACCTAAATGTATGGCAGAATTCAGTCTTGGTAGCAAATGCTATAATTTAAAAATAATGGTCCTCTATTTTATAAGGAATGTTGATTTATATAGAAAGTAACAATATAATAGGAATACAGGATTATAGATAGGTAATCAGAAAATTTGAAATTCTAGGTTCTAACTAAGCACTACTACTAAGGAACTGAGCCTAATATTTTCTTAACCTCTCTGGGTCTCAGACTATTAAAAAAATGGAAGTAGGAGGGTTGATTTTATATTCCATTCAAGAAATTATGATTTGGTTCACATAAGCAAAGGCTTTTACCCAATAATAAATATATAAAGTATCTACGTGTCAACATGTTAATGTCAGTTAAAAAAGAGCATTATAAACCATTAGGCACTGAAAATTCAAATTTAAAAATTTTAGTGCCTCATAAACAAATACTTTAAAAAAAAATTTAAGGCCAGGCAAAAAATAATTACATGTGTTAATGAAAGCATAATCACAATAGGAAACCACACAGCTAATTAAGCCCCAGTTTTTGCCTCAAAAATGTTATAAATTAATGCTTCTTCTATTTTAGAATGTTGATAACTAATACTCTGCAGAAACACTACAAACATGATACTACACAATTAACACAAAATTACTAACTGATTCTGAAATTAAGCACACTTCATTTAGAAAAGCAAAACCAAATTATTTTTACAAGGTGCAATTCTGCAACTTATGAAAATGCTGAAAGGCAGGATCCTAAACCGAAAGTGTAGGACTATAAAATGGGTAAAGAGTGCATGGGAGCAGTTACGACATTTCTACTTTTGTCCTTTATGAAATTCACTTGGCAATAAAGAAGGCATAAAACTGTTATGTAACTCTATCTTCAAATTTTTAAAGTCAAATATAAAAACGAAGAAGGGAGAGGAGGCCCTAGAGCTTAGAGCTGCCCAACAAACATACTTAGATAGTAGAATTCTGTATTCAGAGAGGGAAAACCTTATACTTAAACAACCTGTAAATAAGTAGGTCTTTGATCACGAACTTTTAAGTGACTCACGAAGAGAATCAAGCAATTTTAATAGGACTGTACTAAGGTTCTTTCTTAGAGAATATAAAACATGGGGTACCTATTCATTTGTCAAGACCACAATTTAATTTTTTCAATCCCCAAACTAATTGTTATAGATCAAACAGATTTGATTTAAGGTGAAACCTTACTCCTGAAAATTATGAAGCACAAAATATCAATTAAGATCTTCAAATAGGCCATCAAATTTGTTTTTTAAAAAAATTTCTTACTGTAATGAAGTCATTCCCTTTAACCATTCTTCCTTGGTAAAAAATCCCATGCTTTCAGCCTCCAATTTCCACGCTAAAACTAACATAATAATCTGGAAAGAACAGAACATAAAGGATAGGGGAAAAGTCAGCATAGAGATAATCATGTCTATATTCATCATGGAGAGCATTTTTACACAACTACTTCCATCCTTCAACTATTAAAGAGTATAACCTCTGGAATTATTAACTATATATAAAGAAATTGAGATGTGCCAATTTCTTAAAAGTAAAAAGTTCTAACAGTTTCTGAAGGTAGAATCTCTTATTCTATTACATGTAACATTTGTATCAAGAAAGAACACATTTGCCCAACTTAAACTGATTAAATGTGCCCTAAATGCAAATTTACAATATTAAACATGAAGAAATAAAATCTTCATACAAGATTAAAGTGTCTCAATTTTTATAAATTTATGAATATGCTATATCCCACTTATATTCCATTCTACTTAGAAATAAAACATACATTTTCAGGTTCAACACCAATGTCTTCACAAAATTTTTCCATTCCTTCTGGCCCTACAACTTCATCAGGACCTTCAAAAACAAAAATAATTTACATTATTTTGTTATAATATCAACATAAAACATAAAACATCATGCTAAAAGTACCCATGAACACACAATATTTTGCAAATAATTAAATCTGAATTTTGGCATAGCTTTGATAAGTATAAATATTTGCTACAGGATTTAAAATTTAAAATTTGTAAAGTATTCTTTGAACACATTATAATATGAAATTAAGAAAATTTTTTTTTTTTTTTTTTTTTTTTGAGACGGAGTCTCGCTATGTCACCCAGGCTGGAGTGCAGTGGCCGGATCTCAGCTCACTGCAAGCTCCGCCTCCCGGGTTTACGCCATTCTCCTGCCTCAGCCTCCCGAGTAGCTGGGACTACAGGCGCCCGCCACCTCGCCCGGCTAGTTTTTCAAAAAGCAGCAAAGAAATACTCCATTAGTATCAATCATGAGTCAGTACAAAAACTCAAACCAATCCATTTAAAAAAAAAATTTACTGAGAGCTTACTCTGAATAAAATTTTTGACAATGTATGAATATGAAAAAACATAAGGCAGCTGGAGCTTCTTAATCTACTGGAATATCAGAACCAACATAAAGTTCAATACAGTAATCAGAAGGGTTTAATTTTTACTTATAAAACAGGCCATTTATTACCCTTTTGAAATATACTCAAATATAATTTAATTATTGAAAAAGACAAACGTATTTTGGAAATAATGACTTATGGAAATTACTACACTCCATTTCCAGAAAGAGCTATTTTCCTTATCATCTTGGTTCTAAAATAGACAGCAAGCATTAATATCACTTGAATGTAGAAACAAAAGTTTAATCTTTCAATTAGCTAATGTCTATCATTTGTCCAAAAATTAATTACTGGTATTTAACTTGTTCCTTATTTTACACCCTTAGCAACACTAATAAATCAATACATCAATTATCATTTTTTCAAAATGTTATCAGATTCCCAAAATACAGTAATTACATCATCACTAGTCTCTTTTATGACTGGATAAGACTAAAACAAATTTTGTAATATGAGAAATGTGTTTACTGCTATGGGATTTTGAAAATATAATCTTGAGGTATTATTCTTAATAGTCAAGAGAAGCCTCTATTTTCCTTTTTAAAGGATGAAAATCTTCCAGCTTTATAAACCATGGACTAGACCAAGGCTGCTCAGGTAGATTTGATAGCACCATCTTTAGGTTACTAACACAACATAAAGTCAATACATTCTTGCTGCCTGGGATCCAAGCTGCTAAGATGACATTAATACATGGTCTGAAGCCAAAACCCTTTTTAATTTTTTTGTGTAACATGGTAAATGTTATTAGGTTTAAGTAAGTACTAACAATGCACTCATGTGTTAAAAGGTGAAGGGGGTGATTAATTATAGGGTGCTTTTTCTTCCTTTATATATTTGGAGAACTGTTTAAATTAGAATGTGTTAATTTTATAATTTAAAAAGCATACATATACAATAAAGGTGTTAAAAATGCATAACTGAGCATGTATTCTTATATATGATTGAAAGAAAACAAAAATCAGATTTAAAAATTTAAGAGGTCCAGGTGCGGTGGCTCATGCCTGTAATCTTAGCACTTTGGGAGGCCGAGGTGGGAGTATCACTTGAGCCCAGGAGTTCCAGACAAACCTGGACAACATAGGGAGACCCTATCTCCAGGGAAAAGAAAAAAATAGCCGTGTGTGGTGGTCCCAGCTACCCAGGAGACTGAGGTGGGAGGATTGCTTGAGCCCAGGAGTTTGAGGCTGCAGTGAGCCATGATCACACTACTGTACTCCAGCCTGAGAGAGAGCAAGGCCCTGTCTCAAAAAAAAAAAAAAAAAAATTAAGGGAAAAGACAAATGGTTGTTTTAAAAGCCATGATGAGAATATATTGTAAATTTTTCTAAAGCATCAAGAAAACATACTTGCTCTCAAAGTTGCCATTAGAGATTTGAAGAGAAAGCTGAAGAGGATGTCAAGAAATACCAGTATAAGCCAGGAGCGGTGGCTCACGCCTGTAATCTCATCACTTTGGGAGGCCGAGGCAGATGGATTATGAGGTCAGGATTTCAAGACCAGCCTGGCCAAGATGGTGAAACCCCGTCTCTACTAAAACTACAAAAATTAGCCAGATGTGGTGGCAGGCGTCTGTAATCTAAGCTACTCAGGAGGCTGAGGCAGGAGAATCGCTTAACCCAGGTGGCAGAGATTGCAGTGAGCCGAGATTGCGCCACTGCACTCCAGCGTAGGTGACACAGCGAGACTCCGTCTCAAAAAAAAAAAAAGAAGAAATATCAGTATAGCCCCCCCTAGAAACTGGAGGATTACTTGGTGATTACTAATTAAAATTTGGTTAGAACCAAGTCAAATGAGATTACATAGAGATATAATAACTTATAACTTAGATAAGGTCTGTAAATGTTAACTGACTTTGCCAACGTGATGTAAATAGTAACAGATCTAAGTCGAAAGCAAAGTCTATAACTAATGTGCTTTCCCTAGACTGCAAAACGTTAATCCTTCCAATAACATTGCTTCCAATCTTTCTAATAAAACTACTGCATGGGTAAAACCTCTGGAGCTAAATTTAATTAACTCTTTTGGACAATTAGGTTTCCACTCAATTGAAGAAGCTATAGAAATGATTTTGTTCATACTAGGAGTTCATTTTACTCTACCAGCTAGGTACTATATTAGGACTATGCAATTCCAAACTTATTTTTTGACTCTATGAGATCTTAAAACTGCCCTTTCATTTTCCATGTTTTTAATTACCATAGGTCAGTACATTACTGAATCATTAATTTAACTATCACTCGAGAACGAGGTCTTGTGAAAGAACAAAACGGCCTTATCACACATGATATAATACCATAGTAAAAAGTTTAGTGATATTTTCAAAACTAAAAGAAAAACACCATCAATTTCCTGATTTCTTTATAACTATAAAGAAATGTTCCCAGCTATATCTGCAAGGCCTAATACCATGCCAGCCATAACAGATGCTTAGGGGGGGAAAAAAAAAAAAGCTCAGTGACACAGCACCTTCAACATGAGCTACATAAGAGTAGTTAATTTTGGAACATTGTAAAAAACACAACCAGTAAATCTGATGGTGTAATGCTATTACTGTTTTAATAATAATAACAACTAACATTTGAGTTCTGACTACCAGGTATTGTGCTAAGGGCTTTACATGTATTATTCTCAGTAGGCAAAGTTATTGCCTTCATTTTAATAAGAACACACCCATGTCAAGACAGAACAGTTACTATTTGGCAAAAACACACGGTTCCTCCCTAAACAGGTCTCTGCACAAAGTGGTCTCCACAGAGAGGCCTTCCCTAATCACTCTATCTGAAAGACCATCTAACCCTTCTTTATTCTCTATTCCTGAACCTCACCATATTTATTATCCTTATAACTCCCCACAATCTGTACTTATCTTGCCTACATACCTGTTTACTGTCTTCATCACTAGAAGGCAAGTCCCCCAAAGGCAGGGATCTTGTCTGATTTGCTCAGCACTATATATCCAGCACTCAGCACAGTGCCTGATTCAAAACAAGTGCTCAGTATTTATTGAATGGATGACAGAAGTTAACCAAGAGTACCAAAATTTTCTTTGCAAAAGTGAAAATTAGCTTAAAAAATAAACACAAAACGATGTCTATTATAACAAAATGTTTGTAACTATATATATTTATAAACATTATAAAATTTAAATACAAAATACATAAAAGCATAGTAGTTAAAAGCATGGAATTGGGGCCAGGTGCGGTGGCTCAAGCCTGTAATCCCAGTACTTTGGGAGGCCGAGACGGGCAGATCACGAGGTCAGGAGATCGAGACCATCCTGGCTAACACGGTGAAACCCTGTCTCTACTAAAAAATACAAAAAACTAGCTGGACGAGGTGGCGGACGCCTGTAGTCCCAGCTACTCGGGAGGCTGAGGCAGGAGAATGGCGTAAACCCGGAAGGCGGACCTTGCAGTGAGCAGAGATCCGGCCACTGCACTCCAGCCTGAGCGACACAGCAAGACTCCATCTCAAAAAAAAAAAAGCATGGACTTTAGAATCAGAAGGACCGGGGTTTGAATCCTGGCTCTTGTCACTGTATGATCTTGGGCAAATTAATTAATCTAAGTCTCAGTTTTCTCATCTATAAAATGAGGGTATGGCCAAGCACAGCAGCTCATGCCTGTAATCCCACCACTTTGGGAAGCTGAGGTAGGTAGATCACTTGCGCCCAGGAGTTCGAGACCAGCCTGGGCCACATGGTGAAACCCCATTTCTACAAAAAATCAAAAAAATTAGCCGGGCGTGGTGGCACATGCCTATAATCCCACCTACTAGGAAGGCTGAGGTGGGAGGATGGCCTGAGCCCAGGAGCTCAAGGCTGCAGTCATGATGGCAGCACTGCACTCCAGTGTGGGCGACAGAGTGAGACCCTGTCTCAAAAAATAAAGTCGTAGTGGGGAGGTGGTGATAATACTACCTACTTAACAGAACAGTCACAAGAAAAAAATAATATACCTAGGACAATTCCTGAATAATGCAATTATTATGTTGGCTATTAAAAATGCTAATACAGTAAACAAATGTTTAATTAGAATCTTATGTTACCTAGAAAGTTCCTAGTTGAGGAAAATATTTTCTATTTCTATTGTATCTAGTAACCTTTATAAATGAAATAAGATGAATGACCTTTTGATTCTATATCATGCATACCAGTAAAACTGGCATTTGGGATAATGGGTCAACATTTTAAATGGAGGTCAGTAAGAAATGAATTCCCTTCATTTAAATTGGGTTAGTGGTTGTCTTGGGATGCCAGTAATAGCATTTACTTCTGGTCTAGAAAGAATCTGTTCTGTCACTAAACAATTTTAAAATTGTACTTTGGGATCACTCAGCTGATCCCAACAGTGAAGTTACTGCCCCCCTTTCAAAATAGTCTCACATTTCATACAATTAGCCTAAACTTATACCTCAAGTTCAAAGTATACCACTTTAGACCTTAATGTGGATGAGCACTAAATATAAGGCAATAGCTACATATACACTTTTATTTTAAACAAACATTTTGAGAATGATGGTGACTAAAAGGAGAAAAAAAAAGTGAAACAGGTTAAAAAAAAAAAAAACAAAACAGGGAAAAGAAAAAGAAAAGCTTTAAAATCAGTAACTCCAAAAAAACCAAAACTATTCTAAGGGGAAAAAATTTCATATATGCTTATGAGATAGTATAAGTGTTCTTGTGCATATATTTGCTTAACTCTTCAGCCTCATCTCTGGCTGGCTTTGACTTTTGCCTCTAAAACACAACCCCACCTGGGCCTAGGGCTCTTCATCCACCAGTTACAGGATTTAACTGAGGTTAAGTTAGCTCCTCTAGAAAACTCCCATGACACTTTAAAAGCTGGGTTATATATTCCTCCTATGAACTCTAACAGTGTATCTTCTGAATACAGTATTTATCACACTGTATTAATATCAGTCTATTTATTTTCTTACTATTGCATCTCTAGTAGAAGTGGATGGCTAAATGACAATTATTAAAAGGTAAATGTGTTATACAATCATAACTGAGGGGTATAAATCTTTTCCTATGTCTCCCCAAAAGTTTCGGAAAATGTTAGTTCAGAAAAATTTCAAAAAAAGAATATTGAATAGAAATGTTCTATTATGTACTTTGTGTTTTCCACAATATCAAGTACAAAAATGTTTTATTATATACCTTTTATTTTCCAGAATACTACTTTAGCCAATGGATGTAAATAAGTGAATCTTTGTTTACACATTTTATTAATAGTAAATGAGTTTCTTCCCTCCCAGTAAATATATACTGAATATATATTTAAAGAAATATCAGCCTAAATTGGCAACAAATTTTTAGCCTACCCACAATTGTCAGTCCCGACCCTCATCCCAGTTCACAGCACTAACATATAGCAGGCCTGTAACAGATAATTTGTTAAATTAATGAGCCAAATAAACTTTTGAAGCATATGACTGGTATCTTCTTACATTAATTTCATTACCTGCATATTCATAAAACCAAGCCAGGCACTTCTTGCTTGAAAAATGTTCCTCTCCACTTATTAGTCTAGCAGGGGGTTGGGATCTGCAATAGCTTAGAAAACATACAGATGCCTAAGATTTTTATCACATCTCAACTCTTAGAGAAAAACTAAGTTCAAAATTAACTACTTCAATTCACATTAAACAAAGATTTTTTTTTTCTTCGGTTGGCATTACTGGAAAAAAATTGAAGTTGTTAAGTAACTGCAACTTGAAACAGTAGTCTATACATAAGAATTATCGGCTAACAAAACCCAAACACCTCTTCACTCAGTATCAAAATCCAAAAATATCAGTAAGTTATTTCCTCACATTTTAAAAGACTACAAAGAAGTTCAACCTAGTAGTTGGAAAAGTATAAATATTTATTGTGATTCTATTGATTTGTATACAAATTCTATTTGTGTGTAATAGATAAATATTGAAAACACAAAGTATATTTTGATACTTAATGAATCAATATTTCAAAATAAAATGTTATATTAAGAGTTGTTTTATCACCTAAGCTTAGATTTTTAAAGATAAATGATGACTTAGGACCTAAGGGTATATTAAATTTCACGGATTTAAAAAAACACAACAAAAAAACCCTAAAAGTTAATAATAGTCCAAATAATTGGGACAGGGTATTTAATCCTAGCTTCTGTTCATTCTGTTTCATTTTTTTCATAAAATTTCTCTTTTTCATAAAATAACTAAAATTTGGTAAGTTCAAAATGGCCTCTAGAATTTAATGACTTTCAGAGAAACTTTTTTCAAGGAACTCAAATAATTATCCTACAATGACATAGAAATGCTAGAACCTCTGTAATTGAGTAATGTAAAGTAAGAGTATTATATTTAAAAATTTAAATTGATAGAGCAAAGTATCACCTGAGTTCTAATAATACTGCCTGCTCAGCAATTTTGATGTACTTAAATAATTTTAATACATTATATACTTATGGCCATGAGATAGAGTAATACAAAAATGAATTAATAATTTGCCTATATATTATAAAAATACGAGCTACTAAAGAAACCCATGTCAAATTCTAATGTTGGCTAACAAGAGGTATAAAAAAAGTGTATCATCTTTCACATTAATAGCCCAAGAAATACTTCTTAGACTCCTTTACCAAAACACAGTAATGAGGGAAAAAAGTCGACCAATTACAAAAAAGATGACTAGATAAGTCATCTACCTCACAGTTTAAGCAGATCTCTGTTTAAGGAGAGCTCTAGCATTACTTCCTTCTTATAATCCTGGCTACTGTCTTCTTTTAATAATAGCACCTTAAGTTGTCATATCAAGTGCCAAACATTGATGAAAAGGCAGCTAATATGGGTATTTTTTTAAAAAGCATTTCTCAGTCGGGCGAGGTGGCTCACGCCTGTAATCCCAGCACTTTGGGAGGCCGAGGCGGGCGGATCGCGAGGTCAGGAGTTCAAGACCAGCCTGGCCAACATAGTGAAACCCCATCTCTACTAAAAATACAAAAAATTAGCAGGGTGTGGTGGTGGACACCTGTAATCCCAGCTACTTAGGAGGCTGACGCAGGAGAATCGCTTGAACCCGGGAGGCGGAGGTTGCAGTGAGCGGAGATCGCGCCACTGCACTCCAGCCTGGGCGACAGTGGAAGATTCCGTCACAAAGAAAAAAAAACAAAAAACAAAAACCACTTCTCACACCAAAATTGCTGTTATTTTTTTGTAGCATATAATTTTGCTGTGATGCCTCCAGGATATGCTACAAAGGGATCAAAGAACTACTACTATATAGTTCTGCCTTGTCTTCTTTCTTACCAATAGGACAGAGTACAAGAGTTCACAAATTATTTAATTTATGCTGAGAGCGAACAGCGTCCTGAATGCTAGAAGACAAAAAGCATGCAGGGCCTTTCCAACTCTGCACACAGGCACTTGGCATAGGTGAGGCACTATACTTCCAGAAAATGGGGCTCCTGCAATTTAAAAGGCCTCCTGCTGGGACCTTCCGGGTTAGGCCACTCCAAATACTAAATATGGAGGCCAATTACAGCATACAAGTTTTCCTTTCTACCATTCCCAAGACAGTTGACAAGATTCCTTATGTGCTGCTTTCTTCACACTCTACAAAGAAATTCTAGAAGTGACCCTTCCGCGGAACTGCACTCACTTCTAAGTCTAGAAAAAAAAGGCAGAGGAGCGATACGGGAGTAGGAGATTGAGGGTCGGTTGTGGGGTGGGGGTGGGGGGCAGCGCAATTTACATATGCATCTGTTCCCCACCCTGCAGGGCACGTAGACTCTTAACGTGGGCGGCTCTTCTAGTCTCTCCATAAACGCCAGCGTGCACACACTCGAACACGAGGTCGGGTCGGGCGCGGAGACTCGCGGTGTTCGGCACCTACCGCCTAGCTCGATCAAAGGGGCCTCACCTGTCTCCAGCCCCAGCCCGGCAGGCCGGGCCCGACTCCTTTTCCTCCAGTTGTCCAGCAAAGGAGGGAGGAGGGAAGCTTGAAGGGTGGGGGGAGATGGTACCTGGAGATTTTACACTTTTTGAGGCCTCCGTCTTCCGCTACTGCGGCTGCCACCCCAGGGGATTTTCTCTTCTTCTTCACCGGCATCTTCCGCCCTCCCCGGCAGGGTGGGCAGGGGAGCCGGGGAAGGGGGTCCCTGTCCGCTGGAAGCCCCTCAGCGCTGGCACCCAGTTCCCAGAGACAGCAGCAAGCGGAGGAGCAGAGTCGCCAGCCCGCACCGGCGCGGCCCAGCCCGGCCGACGCCCGCTCCCAGGTATCCTCGTCGTCTTTCTCTGACCGAGACAGGGCTGGCTCCTCGCCGGTGAACACTGCGGTTCGTTCTCACCGGGAGGAGATAACGCGGACAGCGCGGCAGCTCCACCAGTCACAGAAAGCAGAAGGCTCAGCCTAACCCGGAGGCGAATCGCTGAGACCCGGAAGTGACGCGATCGCGGAGCCGGTCCCGGGAAGGGGCGTGATTCCGGTTGCCTCTGCCACTCGTAGGTAGGCCAGGCAAGGGGAAGCTGTCTGACCCTCGCAACTGCGGCTGCCCGCGGATTCTGTATTCTGTCCAGAGTATCCTGACGTTTCTGATGGAGTTTCTGCCGCGCTCTGATGCTGGCAGTCACCGCCAAAAAATGAAACTACTAATACTTTGCAGTTGACGTTAAAAATAACCTGGTAAAGTAGACCAAGTTCCACTTGTGAGCTCTTCCACACGATAACCTCACCTGAAGTGTTCCCACCCCTTAAATGCATTGTCACCCTGTGTCTTGCGTGTTTTCTTTATGGGCCTGTGATCAGCCTCCCACTCCCCCTTCTCCCTTTTCCCTACCTTTGCATATCACTTTGTCCTGTATTGAAACTTAGCTCTACCATTATTTCCGCAGAGCTCACCTCTCCGATAACAGATAGTAGATGACTGCTACTTAGTAGGAAGAAATTTGGGGGACAGTTCTAAGGAGCCTCCCCCTAGACCTTACTAACCAAAACACACTGTAATCTATTCACTTGCACTTAGGTGGAATTACTGTTTTAAAATAATGGTTATTGTATGTAAAGACATAGTATAAATTCGTTAGTAATTCTGTTGGTAAAATAAATTTATCTCTGCAAACCAACTGTGATGGGAGAAGACTAAAAGTCTGAGTAACAGTTGAAGTGGTTCCTGTGAAACTACCTTCACAATGGCACCCTAATCTGGCCAATCCGAATATCATATTTCCTTAGTGTTATTAATTAGTTCAGGATGGACGCATACTCAGGCTAGGCCAATGAGTGCCAGTGACACAAAATTAAACCACCAGGAAGCAATTTTATTTCCTATGGATTTGAACCAGAGAAGGTACAGAGAATGAAGCCAAAACTCAGAAGAGAGCAGTAGCAAGCAGAAAAATAGAAAAACCAGAATATGATTATATGATATGAGCCCAAAATCCATGATATGCCCTGGAATTTTCAGTTATGTGAACCAACAAATTTCACTATTTTGCATATTTAGTTCAATTCTCTGTTACTTAAAACCGAAAGAATGTCAAAGTATATGATCCTTCAACCCATTTAAAAACGCATGAGGCCAAAAAAAAATCAAAACAGAATCAGATAAAGTCTCTAAATAGAACTACCATCTGCAAAAAGCACAGGACAGAGGAACATGTTAAATACCCAATGCAATCAGCAATATCTAGATGTCAGAAAAGTCTACAGGACAAATGACCCAAATTCTGCAACAAATTATTAGGATGAGAGGAGAGAGAAGGAAATTAAAAGAGACTTAAAGGATATGTCAGTCATTTTCAGCGTGCAGTTCTTATTTGAATTTGAGTCACACACACAGTTTAAACAATATTATAACATCTATGTGGCAATTGGAGATGTTACTGCTAGCTGGATATTTGATGAAATTCTAGAACATGTCCAACTTATTTATAGCAATGGCATATCAGTGACACTTGGGGACAGGGATGGAGTGAGTCGGGGAAGACTGACTGCAAAGAAACACAAGGGAACTTTTTGGGTGATGAACATATTCTATGTCTTGATTGAAGTAATAGTATATATACTTGTCAAAATTCATTGAATTGTACACTTAAAATGGATATTTTTATGAATATTCTTCCTAAACAAAATTTATATAAAATGTGCAAAACAAACCACAAAATAAATGATAATGACAAAACTATTAGAGATAGCCAAGCTTATTTCTTCAAGAAGTGAGCTGCAAAAGCTAAACAGCCCATTTTCCCAAGGAGGACCAAAGAAATGGAACAAAACCTAAAGGATGGAAAGAAAGATCTCAGAGGATGATATTAAAGGTGTGTCCTTCCAGAGAGTAGAATCAGGGCCTGATCAAAGTGTAGGGAATTTCATAATGCCTGTCTTGCAGGCTACCAGCATTGCTATAGACCAAAGACCACTGCACATCTCATCTTCTGTTCTTTTTTAAATAGGAATTTTTTCATTGTGATAATTGTGTCCCTTCTTCACCATTATTTATTGGGCGAGAGTGGGGAATAGATTATTGCCTCTTAGTTCATAGGCCATTGGACCATAAGGAATCACTTTCGAACAAAGGGGGACCCCACTATACCTGGAAATCCTGGACATTGAGCTGAATGCAGTAACTGAATAGGAGCCTACTGACACCCATAGAATACTCTGGAAAAAAAAGACAAAAGGCTGGATCTATGTGTGGTATTCATTTAGTCTATCTACTCAAAAAACATTTAATCATCACTTCACCCAGGAGCTTTACTGGGCCTAAGAATATAAAAGGCAGACATGACTCCTGCAATCATGGAGCTGCCAGTCTGGAGGGAGAAATAGTCATGCACCACATAACGACGTTTTGGTCAAGATGTGCATATGCGATGATAGTCCCTTAAGATTATAATACTGTATTTTTACTGTGCCTTTTCTATGTTTAGGTACGTTGAGATACACAAATACAATTGTGTTAAAATTGCCTACAGTATTCAGTACAGTACCATGCTGTACAGGTTTGTAGCCTAGGATCTATAGGCTATCCCATATAGCCTAGGCATGTAGTAAGTGATATCATCCAGATTTGTATAAGTACACTCTATGATGTTCACACAATGATGAAACTGCCTAACGACACATTTCTCACAATGTATTCCTGTCAATAAGCAATATATGACTCTGTGTATGCTATCTGCATTTCAGAGAATTGTATGAATAGGAATTAGGGTTCATAATCTATGCTTGTCAATGATATCAAAGGGATGGCAATTTCTGGGTCATGTAGACCATTCACATCCATCTACCTCTTCATTCTCTTGTCTGGTCAGTACCTACTGCTACTGGCAAACCTCCATTCCCAAAAGTTGGCTCTTCATCACCCTAATTACTCTCATAACGGGGCATATTGATAGCCTTGCTACCTATGAGAAGTATAGAAATGCCTAGTTATGTGGCTTTAATATTTTCTGCTGCTCACCGATGCACACATAGTGCATGATTTTGCATCAAAAAAGATACCTATAATACAGAAACAAACTATGACGAGTACTGTGGCTCTCTGTCGTGCAGTAGAATTTTTAAAATGAAGGTAATGACAAGGAAGGGAGGGATGAAGTAGTTACCTGAAGCGGAAGCCTGTGTGTTCTGGTTCCAGATCCAAAGAAGACACTCAAGTGACTTTAGGAAAGGGATATAATTTCCTTTATCTTTCATCTTATCCTATTCTTATACAGAAGGATGTAGGAAAAAAACAACAAAGATAATACTTATGCTGAATAGGGAAGTAATTAAGCAAGAATACTGAGACCCAGTTCTATTATCTATTTGGCATCTTGGTCATATATACATCCCTTAGCTTTTGGGAGTTATAAAACAAAGCCATGAAAAACATCTCTTAAAATAGTTATATCTCTGTCAAGGTATCCAAAAATAGTACTCTAAGATGTGTTAATTTATATATTCCGTACATAGTTTAGTTTTTCTTAACACCTCTTTAAAATAGGACTTTCCCACTTGCAAGAATAACAAGCAACACAGACATTAAGTGATTTATGGGATGCCACATGTTATTGTGGTCCCGGATCTGTGCAGATGCTCTCCCTTCCATGTATTAATGTTGATTTTTAAAACAACTTTGTAGTTAAAAATTTTGTGAAATGTTTCATGCACATAAATCTACAGAAAGATAACACTAAGAGACTAGTAGAAATGAGATGTCAAGACAGGATTTTTTGTTTCGGCGTTTCAGTATAGCCTACAAGAACTTGTGTTTTAGAGAGGCCCAGAGGTGCAGAACTATGTAACTCATGACACTTACCCCCTACACCCTAAAGCTTGGCTGTGACTGTGGTTCATTCTGGGATCTAGACTGAGGGAATAGTCACTACCTAGAACACTGCTTGTCATCATGACAGAGGGAAAGAACAACATGGTAAACCTCATGCTGCCTGTCGAGGATTCTGCCCTGAAGTGACACATTAATCCTGTTCAAGTCATGTGGCTACACCTGAGGTCATGAGGGCAGGAATGTACAATCCTCCTGCAGAGAAACATTAAGTAAAGGTAAATACAGCCTACTACAGTAAGAGATTGGACTGAAATTTTTTTCAAAGCGTAGGGAAAAATGAGTTCACAGTGCAGTTTTAAAGAGGCAGTAGGAAAATGCGTAAGATTGGTTTCTGCTTATACCTCAACGTGGCAGATTATATTCTTCAAAGGTGGTCACAGCAATATGTCTCATCCCACATATTCTAGAAACTTACCATTTCCTATCAAAAAGTGAAGTCTAGTTGAAAAAAATAAACATTGGTTCATTCATTGTGGGAAATGTACCATACCAATGTAAGACATTAGTAATAGGGGAAACTGGGTGTGGGATATATGAGCAGTTTCTGTAGTATCATTGCAATTTTTCCACAAAATTAAAACTCTTCTAAAATAAATTATTAAGAAGTCATAGTGAATAGGGAAAAATAAAGAAAATTTGGAAAATAGTGAAGTACAGGAAGAAAGAGTAATGATTCAAAAGAGCTGCCTAGGTTGGATGCTTTTGGAAAGGTAAGAATCTAAAAACTTCTGGATGTGGGATCATAGGTAGAAAGCAATGTCTTATATATAAGCTGGCCAAGGACAGAGCAATTTCAGCTTGAAACCTAACCAGGAAGACTAAGAACAAGTGCTCAGGTGGGAAACTGTATTAAACAGTACACCTGATTTACCTTCCCATATGTAAATATGTACCCCAAATGAAGAAAAGTAGTTCAGGCCAGGTGCTGTGACTCATGCCTGTAATCCTAGTACTTTGGGAGGCCAAGGTGAGTGGATCACTTGAGGCCAGGAGTTCAAGACCAGTCTGGCCAACATGGGCAAAACCCTGTCCCTAATAAAAATACAAAAATTAGCCGGGCATGGTGGCACATGCCTGTAATCTCAGCTATGTGGAGGCTGAGGCAGGAGAATCTCTTGAAC